GTGGCAATTCATTCCTGGGTGTGGTGTCTACTGCAGTGCTTAATTTTGCCTTAGAGTGTTTGTCAACCTTTGGAGAGTCTTCTCTATCAACGTCATGCTCCTATGATTCGGTGGGATTGAGCAAAGGAGGCTTCGTTACATGCTTTGATGCGTAGTGAATATCAGGGCTTGCTTTCGTCTCAGTAGGAGGAAAAATTTGTGGAGAGATTTCACTTCCTACGCCTTGCTCCCCTGTGTTGGTAGTTGGAGCTCCTTCAGTGTGTTCAATAAGAATGAACGGAAGAAGCTCCGTTGCATGCTTTGACATGGGGCTTGATTTTGCCTGGGCTGTTCGACTGATCTCCGGAGGGGAATCCCTACTTCTATCACAATCTCCTTTGTCGGTAGTTGAAGCTCATCCAGTGGTCCCGACGATGCGATTTCTTTAGCGGAGCTGTACTCCTTCCCATTGGTTGCTGAAGATTGGCATGGCAACAATCGGAACTTCCACACACCTTCTCACGATGCCTCATTAAATCAGGATACTCAGTAGGAGCTGGAGATGTAGATACCAATATTTAGGAAGGCGTTGGTATGCCAGGACTATTCAAACTTGTAATATCTCCACTGACGTCGGTTAAAGCAATCAGGACTGTAAACAGTTATGCAAGTCCTTCAATTACGGGTAATTAAAGTCTTCCACATTCTGGAGGGTAGGGTGAGTGAATATCGCGTCTCAGTAGAAATCTCTTGTTTCCAGAGGTGGAGATCAATCTCTAATTCTCTAACACCGCATCCCCCCACCCCCCCTTCAAACCCAATTCTGAATATTACCACAATGCCTAATGTTCGCCTCTCAGCATTCTTCTTGATCCAAGAATATGCAACCAAAAGTGGAAAGGGAAAATGTGCACCTTACTTAGTAAAAATGTTTTACGACTTCCAGAAATGTCGATTATAATACTTGCTTATCAACGCCTAATTCCATTTGTCACCTCCTTCAAAAGTTATCGTAGAATTGTGGAACGTAATAAAGCATTCCTCGAAGGTGCGTCAACTATAAGCAGGAGACGAGGTAGACTTAGTCGGGAGGCGATTGGGGACAATATTAACGC